TCCCTAAATGTCTTTCTTATTCTGTACTACATTTCTCCAAATGCTCATTGTTAGCTAACTGCCCAGTTCAGAAGGGGTAGATGTATAGACTGTGCAATCTGTCTTTCACTTGGAAAATAAGTTAGAAAATCAGAAAGCATGCACCCCTTTAGAGCCTTTATACTCTAGAAGCATCTTGCATGCTAAACCTCCAAAACATATGCAGCAATTTGTGCTTGAAGACAGTGCTCATGTTTACACAGTTCTCTTTATCCCTGTAAAATCACTTCATACTGTATATACGTGTTTGGATATATTTTCATGTGTGCTTAAATTGCGTAACATATTCGGACTTTACAGGCTCAGTTAAGTCTGAAAATTATATATTCATTTTCTAAGAGTTCTTTTTCAATTACTAAGTGCTTCTAAGTGTGCCATTGTATGTAGTAATAAAATGTAATTTTGTGGTCAGTGGACAGCTCAGTATGCAATTATCTGTTTGCACAACCAATTAAAAAAGTTGTCTTCTCTAGAAATGGCTGTGAAAATCACAGTGCGCCATAAACAGCTGCTGTGCTAGTTACAAGTGCTTCTAAATGTTCACCTTTAAATGAAGCGTGCGTTCAGGTACCGATCAGTGTGCTAAACATTCAGTGTGTTAAGATCTTGCCGTATGTCTAGCTGTTTTAAATATGGAAGAAATTGGAAGAAATGTGGGAGAACTATTTAAAGATTGTTCAAAGCTGTGAGACCTAAATATTTTTAAGATTATTTTTTGTCTACTTGCTAAGAAAGTGCAAAAGATGTAGTTAGCGTCCCATTTCTTTAGCAAGCATTGACTATGTTGAATTATAAATCTAGAGCTAGAAAGGGTAAGCGGTATACTGAAGAAGGCAATGTAGAATTATGAACAGCTGAAGCACAAGAGAGGCGTGTGACACTTCCATTTGTAGGCTGAAATGCAACTACAACTGCTCGGTGTTGAAGAGCTGGTTTTTACTGAGCTAAACTTCTGCAGTATGGCAAGGAAAAGGTCTGCACAGACCTCTTCGCTGCCTCCAAAATGGGAGGAAGCTTTATTGCTCTGCGAAGACTCTTTTTGTGGTGGGTGGAGGAAGGGAGAGATCCTTATCTGAACAAATTCTCTCTGCTTCAAGTGTGGTATTCACCTAAAAATGACATCAGTGTATTGCAGCGCCTGATTTTTGAACTTTTAAATATCAGGAAGAGCCAATTATTAAAAAACAAGATTTCAGCTGTGATTGTTTTCTTAGGACAGCGTAAGGATGGTTCGCCTGTCAGAAACATACCAGCAGATGTGATTTGCAATAGGAAAGGAATGGAGAAGAAACAGCTAAGATAAACACGGTTCCTCCTTTGAAGTGCTATAATTTGTTAAAATAGTGTTTCAGAGGTGTACAGCTGCTTCTTTTTTTAGTGTTGTTTAAAATCTGTGAAGTTTGGCGTATTCAGGAACCTGGTTACTTTTCCACCTTGGTCTGAAAGTGAGGGGAGGTCAGAGAGTCAGGGGAGGCCTCTCTTTTGTTGGTTACTGAAAGAGCATTTTCTAGAATGATAGTAGTGGCAGGAGCTCATTTCTGGAGTTATCCTGTCTTTCTGCACAACAAGCAAGTCCGTATTTTGCAGAAATGCCTAAATTAACTCAGGTGCCGTAGCCACGCTAAGTAAGTGCATTGTGCCATGGAAACATAGGCTAGCAGTCTACAGGTCTTTGATGGTCTTTAGGGCATGGATTAAGATGCCCTCATATAATTAAACTTCAATGTGTTACTGTTGGACTAGGGTAAAAGACTAGCACGGGATGATATCTGTCAGATGGTAGCCTTTTTTTTTTTTGAGTTCACTTAGAAATATCAGGTAGATAACATCGTATAGTTTTGGAATTGAATTTGAAAGCACCAAATGAAATCTAAAGTTGTCACTAGAATTGATAGAAATTATCTTTTTGAACATTTATATATACATGCATATATTTATTTATAAAATATTATCTTTATTTATATGGAAAAACAGATATATCTTTACTTCTGACGTATCTCTAATCCTGAATTACCGAATACATTGGTTTTTTTTTTAATATGGACAAAGTAATTCCTGATAAAGAGCTTTGCACATGCTTATTTTATTTCTCTAAAAAGTGAGTGAAGATAATACAAGGCACAGGAATGGGCCTAGGACTAAAGCCTAAATCCTAGGCTTTGGGCTTGATGCCTTCAACCTAGCATGACACAGGAAACCCTTGAGTGTATCTATCTGTGCCACCCATCTGTGCTTTAGTGTTCCTTCTTTTTAAAACAAGCCTGCTTTCTTACAGTTGTGCCTCAAGATTTAAGTCAGCTAGAAAATCGGGGAAAATATTAAAGGAAAAAATGTAAAAGTACTGTAAAAAATCTAAAAATAGTGCAACAGCAGAAATGCCTTTAATAAACAGTTGACTAGTTTGATTTGCTGTAATGTGTTGGAAACATCTAAGGCACTAAGCTTGAATTTTTTTTAATAATTTTAAAATAAAAAATGTGCTTTTAGGACATTTTAAAAAAAGTGCCACCATCCTCACTCGGGCAGTACGGGCGGTGGTTCAGTGCCAGAGCGACAGCAGTTGGTTAGCTCTGCAGGCTGCGCCTCGTTCCTGACACCCGCAGGGAATGGCAGCAATGCAGAAGCAGCAGTTTAGCTCCTGGGCCCAAAGGAATCCTTAATGCCAATTAAAAAGCAGTCTTAATGAGTTCCAAAAGCAGCCCCCGAGCCAGGCCTCCTCAGCTAAAAAAAGACAGGAAAGCAACATGTTGTAGGAAATGATGGAATTTTGAAAAAGCCCAAAAGAAAAGGGGGAACACCCTTTGCTTTCCCTACCGCATCCTCAGCTCTCATGCTGTTAAAAAGGGATAAAAATGTAGAGCACAGAGGAGTAACTGGTGTAACGGTCCCGTTCGGAAAGTGACTTTTGGCTAACTTGGGGATTGTTTGTGGTCAATGTGTTATTTCTGACTAAAATGGCACTTCATAAAAATAACAAATTGTTGGCAACCATTGGTCTTTGAATTCTATTTCTGGTTGTTCTAGCCTCTATTTCTGTTCCTCTTGGTTGCTTTTCTCCTAACAAATCAAACTTCAGGATTGCAGCAGGAAATTTAGATTTAACCTCAAGAGTCAATGTTTTGTCTCATGTCTGCTCTAATGTGATACAGATGTTGGAACTGCTGTACGTAACTCAAGGTTTTATTGAACTAGCCCTCCCTGCCTAATAGAAAACATAGCTAACTGCAATGCACATTAAACACAGATAATTTGGAAGGCACTAAGCCTGAGAATTTTGTAAATATATTTACAAAATAGTTGAGGTATTACTTCAATTGCACATCCTTTGGCTATTTGATGCTGCCGCAGAGATTCTGCCACGGTAAAGAAGCGGAGCTCTTTTTCTAGTCTTTTATAAAAGGAAACAACACAAATTAAACACCTAAAAATATAATACCTGAAATTTTTAGTCTGGATGTTCTTGTGCCTCATCTTTGTTTCCGCCTCTTTAAAAGACAATCAGAAAGGCTGGGATTATACGCTACCTGTTGCAGCACTTTTTACTACTTTTATTTCCTGACAGTCCTCGGCTCCACTGTTCTTGGTGTTTGCGTTTTCTTTGTCTTTAGCTGCTAGTCTGGCCAGCGCATGCTAAAGACTTAGGTATTTCTTTGATGAGGACGGAAGGGTAAACAGTGACATTTCCTGAGATCCTGCTGTGCCATGTTAGCCCCACTACAAAGTAATCTGAAGTAGGTCTTACCCATGTTCATTCTTACTGCATCTTAATTTACCTTATTTCAAATAATGAAATGAAAGTTTGCTCATGTTATGTACAGGCAAACATTACACTAGTTTATAAATGTTTTTTTTTTTTTTAAGTTAAAACCAAAAAGTTTACATCACCAGAGAGTGCTGTTCTTTCCCATATCAAAAAGCTAATTTTGCATGAATTTAGTGCATCTGTAACAATCCTCCTGCCTTATAATATGAAAGCCAGGCAGAAATATGCTCCACAGAGTAATTTCCAAGCAGCAGACAGACTAGGGAGAAAGCATTTGATACCCAAAAGGAGCTAAAAAACAAACCAAAACAAAGAACCCCCCCCCCAGGGGAACACAGAGCAGCAAAGTGGGTTGTGTGCGTTCTCACCCAGTTGTTGACTAATAACCGTCACTTTTTTTTTTTAACCTTGATCTCCACTTCCTGATGGATATTCATCTTTGACCCTTAGAGAGACCAAACTATTTTGTATGGGCACGTTATGCAGGGCCTGGTACGGGGGTCTTCAGTCAGCTCGAGGGCTCGTGGTTGCTGCACTGGTGATCCGCCAGCAGCGCGGGGAGCTGCAAAGGTGGCTAACAAAATTCCTTGTCCTCTGTTGCTTAACTCTCAGCTCCAGAAAGGTCACAGCTCTATTAAAAAAACAACAACAACAACATCTCACTCATTCAAGTGATGGCCATATTATGGCAATGAAGTCACTTCACAGTCATTGTATCAGCAAAGTAGGCCATTAGTTGAGTTAGTCTTTTAAACGGTAAACCTATTATTTCCCCAGTAATATTGTCCTTCCGTATCCGTTTCAAGGTGTTTGATGTCAGAGTTGTTTCTTTCTACATGAACAGAGAGCAGCTAGCCAGACGGGGCCGGGAGCTTTCGTGGGTGCTGCAGAGGAACTGCGCTGCAGAGAATCGATCCCACCTAGGAACTACGCCATCATTTCTGAAACTCTTCCCGTCTTGTCACTCATTGCACAAGAAAAACCTGAATCAGCAACTACTTCTAGCAACTAGGTTTTGAAAAAATAAGGAAGCTTATATTATTACCCAAAGCCTCTAAACTCCGTTTGTATCCCAAGGACAGGACCACTGAGTCATTTTAAAAATGGCAGACTCTCTCTGTTGGCATGTGAGGAACCTGTGAGACCAGCCTCACAGCGTGACTATAAATCATTACATCTGAATCTTTTTTTCTTCCAGGCTCCAGTTTATTTCTTTCATTTCCACAAACACTATACAACATTCACAGGTAAGTAAATCAACATGAAATAATGTCTATCCCCTCCTATTTAATTCGGTGTATTTAATGATTTCCTCACATGAGAAGTGAATGTAATGTTTGAAATAGCCGAGCTTCTTTCAGCCAGTTCCTGTCCTGATAATGTGCTGTAGGTTTTTCTGCGGTCAGGTTTTCAGAATCCAACTGGTTTCTTTTCCATGTTTATAACGCCTCAGGTTTTCCTTTCACGTGTCATTCTCCAAGCAGTCCCACCTGGATAGTAGGTTGATGGATGCTCTGTAGTTAAAGATAATGTATTTAATTTGCAGTCAAGTGTGGTTTGTAACTTCTACCTGCTGTAGGTAAAATTCTTCAGTGGGTCATCGTATACTCCATAAACTAGTTTATTGTCTTTCAGAGCCATCTGTAAAACTCTTCTCCATATGAAGTCTGCAGACAATTGCTATCAGATGCAGGCGAGGCAGGTGGCAAACTGTGATTACTTCTAAGAGTTGGCTTACTGCACCTAGAAATTTTATACACAGCTAGTTTGTGCTCTGATGGCCTATATTTCTCAGTGCTGTCCTGCCTTCCTCTGTACTTTCTTGCTCATTTCACTCATCTGTCATATCAGGTCTCTCAGAGCCTACGTGTCCTGGGGGAGGGACTGTCACTCCCTGTCTTGAGGAATTAGTAGAAATGAATATTAGCATTTAAATTTGGGAGATAACACATAGCCACTTATACCACTGTTTTCACATTGCAGTGCTCAGTAGAGTTTATAAAAGTATGAATAGCCCCGAGTTTGGGGCAGGAGAAGTGGTGAATCAGGAGATCTGGGGCAGGAGAGGTTGAGGGAGCTGCAGAAAGGCGGGGGAGACTGGAGGAGGAGGAGGAGGAGGAGAGCACCTCTGGCACTGCCAAGCCCTGCTAGCAGCAGCATTTAATCTGAGGAATGCTGAGTTTTTGCTTTCTTCCCTCTTTCAGGACTTTGGTGTAGTGTTTTCCTTCTCATGTCATCCTCTGACCTATTTTCCTCTCAGGCCTTCTGGTGGGTTTTCTCATTCCTCAAAACAGAAGAGCCCAGTAATGCTAAACATCCCGTCAGGAGTGCTTGGAGGATGTGCTTGCAAATTATTTGGTGGTGAAGAATTCGAGTTTTTCAAATAACCTTCTCCCATTCTTCATCATGCTGCCAGTTCTCAGTTGTTATTTTATCAGAAGAATATTGATTTTTGGAATGGGAAAAATACTTAAGGGGTTTTTGTCTAGCTGTTTTTTATAAACACAAATATTCAGACACTGTAAACAAGACATTTCCCAGTATACATCAAACAGAATTGTTCTTCTGAACCGTGATTGTGAAGAACTGGTTTAATCATAGTGAACGTTAGTGAATTAAGCCACTTATTTAATATTTTATTTAATATATTCTCAATTAAGCCACTTATTTAATATCTTATTTAATATATTCTCAATAGGAGTTTTGCTTGAGAGTGAGAAGGATGCAAAATAGATGCAAAAGCTATTGATCTTGCAGTTTGCCTTTCCCTAGCTGACAGAGAATACAGTCAATTACTACCTGTAGTACTACTACCTTTAGAAGGCAGCCTAAAATAGCCAAGAAAATATCCAAGGAAACACAGTAAATCAATAATTTGCCTATACTCTAATTAGAAAAAACAAAACAAAACAAACCCAAAACTTCCGCCATCTTTAGGGGAGTTTGCAATGCTGCAGGATGGCACAGCAGCATCACCTCTGGACCTAAGCATCGTCAGTATCTGCCAGCCCTGTGCTTGACTGCTGTCGCTGAAAATGTGGGGGCCGTATTGGTTGAAGTCACTTCAGTCTCATGGTAGAAGCTGCAGGATCTAAAAATATATATATTAAATTCATAGCAAGTCTGCATGCTGTGCTTTGGATGGCAACTGCAATAACAGAGCTACTGCAGCTCACTTTGTGTAAGCTTAGTGGCTTATTGCGAGACAGTGATGAATGGGTGAAGCTGACCAGAAGCTACATGAATAAAACATAATTGTAGCCCAGAAATAAATGTTACTTGGGTATCCCACAGCTTCTCTTCAACTCTCTGGGTATCTAACACGTTTGCACAGGTAGCTGTGTTTCTAGGATGAATTCTTGAGGCTGGAGTTTGACGTTACTGTTAGGAAATAGAATGGATAAATTTTCTTACGCCATAAAATCATTGTATTTATTTACAGAGCACATTTAAAGAAAACACTGAAGAATGGTTCTTTGTATGAAGGACTTCTACCTCTTGTGTCACCTCTGTTGCTGTTCGTTCTTCTTACGGTCTGGGTGGTTTTATCGCCAGGCAACATATTAGCAAAGCAACCAAGATTGTTTTTGTGGATGGTTGGGGTTGCTTTCTCAAATGTTATTGTAAGTATCTTTGTGGTGGTGGTATATATTTAGAGATAGCCTTCTGTCAGTGAGACTTCTATTTTTATGTGAATAAACAGAAGGGAACAGAAACTGTAGTTAAAACTCAACAGAATCACTTGCACTACTCCTCTACCTCTGTGTTACGCTCTCGCTTACAAAAACATGCTGCAGCAGTTGTGCAGCCGAGGGAAACGTACGGGACTGGTTTCGAATATTTATTCTACCACAGCATAAAATTTTTATGAGCGTTCTTTTCTTTTTCCAGAGTTTTATGAACAACCCTAGGGAGGCTTTACTTCCAGAAATATAACAGATATTCACCAACACATAAGCAGAACCGGGGACTTGGCTAAGTCAAATGAAGCTAAATTACAGACACAGACTTACCAGCAAGAGCAGGAGCGGTTGTAGCCTTCCCTGCTGTTCTGCCCATTAGTGTGGTACAGGCTCTCCTACATGATATCGTTCAGTTGATCCCGTATTTCCCCTTCACTGTTGGGAATGAGGTACCACTGACAGCAGTTTTTAGGGAAAGCCTTTAAGTGATACAGGGGCCTTGCAGTGGCTCTCTGCCCAGAGATTAGTTTCTCCTCTACCACATCATCACTGTGACCAGTTTCCTTCTTTTTAATGCCAGTGGAGCAACATAAACCTCGGTGAAGCCAGAGAGTAAAGCTGAACATTATAGTTAACCCTGGGCTTTCCTGTTTGGCTGCTAGGAGAGGGGAAGTGAGCAGCAGCCAGGTAGAAAAGTGTTCCTCCAGTTGGTGCTGAAATACCCTGAAGGACTGGGACTATTGTCCTTTTAAGAAGTCTCCAGCACCATCTGAAAAAAACCAACCTGTCACTGAACAACACTGCATCCAACGTAAAAAGTGAAAGTCTTGGAGTTCCCTGCATTGTGAGAGAGAGCTTTGAACATGCACAATTTTAAAATGGAAAGCATAGCTCGTTCTAGAAATTTGTATCCAGGAATGGAAAAGAAATCAGAATTGTGATGCTTGTTAGGTGTATTCTAGCCGTGTATGTTTCTGAGGGGCCTGAATCAAACAGTTCGTCTTAAGGACTTAATCTTGCAAGGACTGGCATTTTTATTTCCTAAATTATAAGTTTTATTGTGTGAATTTTCCATTACTTAATGTATCCTTTTTTCTTAAGAGAACAGTATATCTTCCTAAATGAGAAATACAACGTCACACTCGTGAGGAAAATGCGTCCAGAGTTTGACAGATGGTAGAGTCTGCATACACGTTTTGACCAGCAAAGAGCAATTGTGGCGGGATGCTGGCAGAAAAAAATTAGCAAGGCAAACCAGAAGTTTCTTAGTAGGCTGCAGTTTATTAGACATGGAGTATAATGCATATTCTTAAGGCCTTGCTTTTGTCTTTTACCAAAACAACTACTGCATTATTAGAGTCTTACATGAATTAAAAATGTATGTGTATTAATTAGTTGTAATGTGTAACATTTTAAGAGAAAAAAAATAAGCCCATATTTCCTTTTTTAACCTCCTCTGGTGCCTTATGTACTCATTTCCTTCAGCAACAGAGTAAAGGTTGTCATAGCAATGCTTTTTTTCTCCATGCTTTTCTGACACATTGGGTTTTCATTATCTTTTCTGTAGACCACAAAGTGCAGCCCACATTTCTCTACCTGCCAGTATCTTGAACTTCTCATGGCTTTGACAACATATTTAGTCGCCCAGTAGATACTTCTGGCTAAATGCCTGGTTTTGAACCTGACCTCACAACTCTGCCGTGTCAGTACAAGTGGGGAAGGCACCGGCCTCCTGGGAGGAGGCAGAAAGAAGGGCCTCCGGCGGGAGGATCTGACAGATGGGCATTTTCCAGCCTTTTTGGTTAAAGTAAGGGGAAAAGCTCGCAAGGCCAAAAAAAGAAAACTGCTGATCTCTGAGAGGAGAGCTACTTTTCCCAGTCCCTGGCGGCGGGAGGAGGACTGCCTGCTGGGGTGACTGCCCTTCCTTCCAAGGAGCTCAGGCTTTGCTTTGACACGTGCTCATAGAGATAGCTCAGAAATACCCACCTGTGAGCATGTAACCACAAAGCACAACTGCGGTCCCACTTACCAAGCCTTCGGAGGCAAGACTTCCAGTTTGAATTAAGGATTCGGACCCCGTGGAGGAGCCCGCCCCTGGACTCCGGTCCTCCCAAGGATTTTGAGCTCCTCCGATGGTGCGCCCTTCCAGTTCTGTCTTCGCCTCCTCGGCTCTGCGGCCCGTAGCGTCTCCCTGGCTGCCTGGTCCCTGTCCTCTCACACCCGCTGGCCTCTCGCTCCCATGCCTGGTAGCGTTGCACGGCTGTAGGCAGCGGGGACTTATGAGCGCAGGGTGTAATCCCTCTGGCAGTGATTCTCTTTCCGCCCTGCCTCTCCCAGCTTCAGGGCTCTTAACTCTGACATGCTGATTTTTGCCTCATTTTGAGTCCACTTCAGGACTAGGGGGAATAAGGACTTGAGGGAGAAGTGCAGGGTATAGTCCATTTTGCAGCCCTGTGATACGTTAAAGGTGAATTGTTTCAAGCATTAATAAGAAATCTTGATGTAAAATGCAGTACCGTGCTTAACATGGGGTAATAGTGGTTGAAAACATTATGAAATCCAGCCCCTGGATAGGTGCAATTATTGAGCAAAAAAAACCCCAAACCCCATATATTTGTATATTAGAGAGATTGCTTTAGCACTTTCTGATAGTCTCTGGAACAAATCCTAAAGGACTCATAAAATTGATGTTATTTTAAAAATTCATAATCAATACTGATAATGCATTGTAAGCAATTATATTTACATTAGGTACAAGTGCTTACTTCTTACATTATTGAAAGTTAATTAATTTTTCATGTTTTATCTTTGCATTCTTCAGCTTCCACAGTGCAAAGAGTAAAGCCAATATTTTTTTCCCTGCAGTTAGGTTTCATTCAGACTCCTACTGTTACCATCAAGCACTGCACAGGGATTGAATAGGATATATAAAAACTATTTTAACTATTTTAACTATAATTTTAAACACATTTAAATTCCGAGTGAAAGATAAAATGATGAAGTATTTCAGATGTGCCTAAATTCCATTTGCAGTAAAGGGAGTAGTTCATGAGACAGGTTTCTTGAAGAGTCTAAAACAGGTGAACCACTTAGATGCCTAACTGTATCTGAAAATCTGAACTTCAGCTGAGTTAATCTCATTACATTTCAAGAGCTCTGTAAAATTAGGCTAATGGTTTTCAGTTAAACCATCCATCATGTATACACTTCTTGCCACTCAGAGGGATGCCGTACCTGGGTTCCCAGCTACATCGTCAGGGAGTAAATGTCCATAAGTCATCCAAGTAAATGGTGGTTCCCAGCTGGGTGTTTGAGTATATATGAAGGAGTGCTAGAAAAGCAGCCGTAGTTAAGAGAGGCATATATTACTTCACCCCTCTTGCATACAGTGAACTGGAATATATTTCTGTCATGCCATGTGATTAAAAATAGCAGTACACTCTTCCCAAGGAGTAAGTGGTGGCATATTTGATTTGGGATTGCAACTTTACGAGTCTGTGTGAAAGCATGTAGTGTCAAACAAATTCCCCTTTTGCAAACTTGTACTTCAGCTTATAAAGTGTAGCATGTCAAAGCACTTGTCTCCATAAAAGAAGTGTATATATTAAATTGCTTGTAATAAAGTCCTTCAAGAATCACAGACAATAAAGCACAAAGGCAATCATTTATAGTAGTTTTCATACTAGACACAAGCCCTGTTCTGAACTCTAGCTTTTTTTCCCCACTGAAAACACGCCAACAGAGAAAATGGGCATTCTTTATTTAGAAACCACCTGCAGCCTGGTCCAGTGCTTCTTACCTGGTGACTTTTCTTCCAACAGTGCAAAGTGATAATTTGCCAGATGAGCAGCACCAGACCTGAGCTTTTCCACTGGTTCCTGTTTCCGCTGGCTCTTGTGGTCTATGCAGCAACCTCGGGGCTCCTGGGCTGGATGGAAGAAATCGCACTTGCCATATTCACCGCGTTGGTCACGGCCGCTCATGTGCACTATGGTGTTTGCGTGGTGAGTGGGCACTTGTGAAACGGCAAAGGAGGAGTTACACAGGGGTGGGAGGAAGGCCGGACTATGGAGCCTGGGAACTGTTTCTGTGCTGGCCAGTTGGGGCGGTGGGCAGGAATCTGAATTTGAATTATGCTTTTTTTTCTATTATTTGGTTGATTTAGTCTAAAGTAGAAAAAGTAGAAAAGGCACTGCCTTTTTGCCCGTACAGCAACGTCAGTGATGTGAGCCTTTCCAGTGAATTAACTGGTAGCAGTTTAAAACCTAGCACGATCAGAATACTTATTGACTACTTTTCTGGAGCAAGCTGTCCATGTGGCACAAATTCCTTCAGCCCTTCTCCCTTCCTTCTTCCTGAGGTTACCTGAGTGAAAAACAGGAGGGTAAAGTGCAAAGTACAAAGGCGTTGAATTCACAAAGTGAGAAGGTTATCTTGGTTTGGAATCTGCAAGCAAAACAGCTGTCCCGATTTCTAATCTTTTCTTGGCCCTCTGTTAGTGTCTCCCAAGCTGGAGGCGTGAATGGCTTTCCAGTTCATGCAGCCTTACCAACACAGTCTCCTGTCCGCTAGATACCAGTTTTGTCATTTATTGTTGTCTGAATTACTACTCAAATTCACTGTTCCTCAGTTAATGCCCTTTTTTCTAAAGAGCATTGTCAAATAATCCTTAGGAAAACGTCTTAATGGCGGGTTGTTTTCAGATAAAACGTCTTGTATGGCAGAGATTTCATTTAACAGGGATTTGGGCAACTTTCTTTTATTTAAGATTTGCTGTTGGGCTGTAAGAATTAGTGTTTGCTGCGTTTGAAAGAGACCTTTTAGCAGCAGCCTCTGGCGTTGCGGCAGATTTTGCAAGGGGATCGATATGGTCCTGGCAGTGGGGTCAGAATGGAATTACCTTGGTCGCAATTCACTGTCGATGGAGTGGGCCCAGCTTCACTGCTCTTTTACGTCACCCATGAATCTGGTCCGTAGTTATTGAACTTCCCATCCGCGTGGTGTGAGAGGAATGGAAAGATCACAACTCTCTTGCTTTAGTACTTGTAGGGCCTCAGGCAAGCGAGGACTTTGACTGAGTCCTCTCTCCCCTGACTAGGAGAGCAGAGACGTTGAACGCTGAAGCATGTACCAAACTGCTAACCACTGCAATTTGTCCTTAGGGGAGGCAGCTGAGTGAACACTTCAACATTTACATCTTTTCCTTGAAGAAACGTGTCCAAGAATGAACACTTGCACTTTGGTCAGATTGTAACACTTAACATGGCAATTCACGGCTGTTTTTCTGTGGTAAACAGTGGAATTATTTTAATTAAAATAACCAAAGAATAGAAGAGGCCAGATATTCAAGCCACTGCGACAATGAGCTACACAGGAAGATGCTTCATCTCAGAGAAAATTCCTGCCCAGCAGTGACCAGTGTTTACCAAGATGGTCAGCTGCTAATATTATTTGTTCTCTTTACTAATGCCATGTAACTACCCACTCCTAAGCTTTTGTCTTCCTCCTTCTTGCCGCTGTCTCTGAAGTCCTGGATCAGTCCAGCCTGGGTTACACAGGATCGTTGGTATTTTATAACCAGTACTGGTTTTGTCCTGTCTATTCACCAGTGGGACCTCTGACAATGCACGCTCTCCCTGTATGTCCTTCCCCTTCAGACATCTGTGCCGGCTCCGTTTTCCTTGTTTCACATCTCATTTCTTCCATACAGCCTCATGAAGGGCTTTCCCACCTTCAGTCTTGTCTTCACCTCGAATTAATGCATGAAGAAAAGAGAACGAGATCAGAAAACTGTGGGCACAGCAAAGTATTTTTCAGACCTATGATTTTTTTGGCCGCTGTATTCAGTCGAGTCTTAGCTGACCTGTATCTGCCAGAATGCAGGCTCCGGGCAGCAGGCACTTGCCTTTACTTATTTTCTATGTGGTAACAAGTGCATTGTTGATATTTAAGTCCCGACAAACCTTTGAAGATTCCCATATTCACTGCAAAACTAGTGTCTGAGTGAGCTCAGCACACAGCTTTCTAAACCACAAAGCAAGTGGTGGAAAATGGGTCAGATAGGTACATTCTAAATATTTTTAAACCTCATCTATCAGTGCGAAATGCTAAGCAAATAATTATTTGCCTGTGTTCTTGAATCAAATTCTTGAGATTTTTAGATAATGACTAAAAAAAAAGTTGAGGTGAGTTTTTACTATTACACATTTACATGCAGACATAAACTGCTCCCTTCATATATAATGTATGTAGGTTTTCCGTGTGCCTTGGAGGAAGGATGAGGACTTTGAGTTTCAACTCTTTTCATATGCTGCCCTAGCCAAAGGGACTCTGTGGCCTTGAAGCACTAATGAAACAATCTGTCTATTTTCCCCAGGGAAAGCCTTATATTATATATCTTGCACAGAGGAATGTGATTGACTGACTGGCGTTTTTGTTACATAGTTCAGTATCTCACTTGCCAGAAGCAGGGCAGCAGCACAGTTGTTTAGCCACTAAGCCTTGAGTTCACCTTTTTTAATTCTGAGACCATTTATCTAGCTTTATCCCTTGCCTGTTCATATTTTCCTCCAGTTAACATATTCTTACATCAGTACTGCTTATTAATATTTGCAGATGAGCACCTACTAATTATATCTTCCACCTGCATATTACGTGAACTGCTTCAATTTAAATTTGCATGGCCAGTTACAGTAGTTGACCTGACAGGTTTTCAAATCTACCACAAAGTTAGTAGGGCAGATTTCCTCTGGCAGCTAATTTAACGTATATGCCAGGGGACGAGTCTGCATATCAGGTGATAGGGGAAATAAGAGTTTGATATAGGCATGCACTCAGCAATCTCCCTGTTAGATGAAGTTAAATATTCAGATGCCAGATATACTGGAAGTTTATTTTTAATCCATTCATCACAGCATCTGGAAGAAGCTCTGATGAGAAACAAACAATAACAGCTGTATGGAAGAACTCCTAGGATAGGCTTTCCCTCTGTTCTCCATTTGCTTATAAAACAGTTGGAAATAAGGGACACTGAAGTAGCACAATTTGATGCACTGTAATGGAATACTTTGAAAATACTTCATCAGATGAAATTACAAAACTTGAACAGCCCCCAGCTACCTGCACATGACCTTTCTAAGGAAAAGTATAGTATCAGTTTTAGAAGAAATTAAGCTCTGACCACCTTGTTCATATTCTATATAAAGTCTGGCAAATAACTTTTTTTTCTTTTAAAGCTGCTTGTCACTACAAGTTCTATAAAGACATGTATAAACATAGATGATGTATTGCACAGTGTATATATTGAATTGTTGGCCATTATAGATGGTAAATTGGCTCAACAAAAGGGAATAAAGATGCCTTGGTCATAGGGTAGCATGGTGCCACATTTATTTTATAATGTCAGATAATGGTACAAAGACAACTAGAGTTCAGTCTAAGCTTCCTTTAACCTGCTTTTTTCTTTTTGGTCAGCTCATATACGGCAAAAAGTTTTCAACATTCTGAACTGGAAAAAAAACCACTTATTTTTTTTAAGCTGCGGAGCATTCACACAAGTGCGTAGACGTGCTCCCCCGGCTCCTATGCTTACGAAAAGCAGCAAAACTACATTTGTTCTCCCAGGTCAGAGCACCCAGGCTGGGAAGGGGCCCTTGGGTGCTGCTCCAGATGAGCAGCAGCAGCAGCAGCAGCAGCAGCCGCAGGGGGCTGGGACCAGCCCCAGGACTGTGGTATGCAGGGAGCTTTGCCCGTGCAGGAGGCTGCCCTGTCCCGCAGCTCTGATCCCTGGCAATGTAGCAGCAACAATTTCAGCAACCTTTCTTACTCGGCGAGGAAGCAGAGCCATGGGTATCGCAACACGTTTTTCCACTTTGCTCCACACAAAATAGTATTGTAATCTAAAATTGAGACTGTTTTAGGCTCCGCACTGAAGATTCATCCCTTAATACTTGGCCCTTGCAAGGAAAGTCCTTTGGGAACTTCACCGTCTTTGCTAGAGCGTTCTCTTCACCTCCTGACCTTCCACCACTTTTGCTTTTGCTGTATCTAAACTGAATGATACTACATGAGATTTAGTACTCTGAAATTGAGAGTGTTTACTAAAAGAAATTTTCAGTCATTTTAGTTTTTTTTTTTTGATTTGTAAAAGGTGACGCAGTTGCTGGGTTCTTGCGGAAAGAAACATACCTACACACACACACACAGAATAAGTGAACCTTTTTCTTCCTGCTCCCATACACAATCAATAAGGAGGCAATTAAATATATGTATTTAAAACAAGAAAGTATTATTTTAGAATGTTTTGAGTAGTCTCTAGATCTAGACAGATTTTCACATATATTTTTTTATTAAATATGTAAAAAGATAAACGCAAGTCAAGTTATTCACATATTCAGACAAAAATCTACTCTACCATGCGACAATTTGTGGATAATGTAAAATGACTGATACATCTGAATAAGACTTTTTGTATCTATTATGTCATTACTTATCTATTTATAATTAACAATACATATGTTTACATTCCTTTCAGTTTACATTTAATATATAACCAAAGCTTTATGGTGTGCTATTTAGTAAAGGTAATTACAAATGCATATTAAAATCATAACGGAATAATGGGTTCCTCACAGGGGGAGGGAGGGAGTGGAGAAGGACGACTCTTTACCCTTTCAG